GCTGTAACCCATTTTCCTTGGTCCATGCAACCCTTCTGCCTTCTCCAGCACAAGCTTTAAGGCGGGGACCTCCCCAAGATCCCTCTTCCCTGGGATTTGCACGGCGATCTTGCTGGGTGAGAGCCCTGCTGCCCTTTGCTTCTCACCACCGAGCTTTGAGCACCCTTTTCCCTGCAGGTCCATGAATCAGAGAAAAGAGGAGAGCCTGGAGCCTCTCCCGTGGCGGCATGCTGATGTTCCCTGTCCCAGCAGCGTTCAGCCAGTGGTTTGCCCACGTGATGGGCTATGAGGGCGACCCAGGAGGCATCCTTGACTGTTGTCCTTAAGTTAAACATCAGTAATAAGCGTTTTGTGCCATTTGTGGAGGCTTTTTCGGTGTCTGCTGCTGTTTCAACTCTCGTGCTTGGGATCTCCCAGCCCCTCAGAGTGAGCTCCTATGATTTGGGTGATGTTAAAGGTGAGCATAGGGAGGAAAGGAGGATCCCCGCTCCAGCCTGATCTATCTGGGGCTGCTTGTGCCAAAAATGAGAAAGTGAGGAAAATACAAGTGAGTAAAAAAAACAAGCCTGTGGTTTCTCCGGGTCTGCCTTCTCCCTAAGGAGTCTCGTGGTTTCAGGGGTCACGCTTGAGAAATGTTCACGGGTCTCCCTTTCTTAGAAAGCTCTGCAGCCTCTTAAGTGCAAGCTTTTATTTTTAGGGGGTCAACCGCTTCCCAATACCTAACTGGAGCTGGTTTATTGCTTCGGTGAATTAGGGGCAGAAGGCGAGGTAGGGGTAGGGAAGTGTATGGGTGACCACGAAGGCAGGCGCAGGAGCTGCGTAGATGATTCCCTCGCTTGTGGTTTGAAGCTGAGGAGGTTTCCTACTTGTGCTGTGCCTGCAGCAGGTAAATGTGTGATAAAGTTAGAGAAAGTGGGGGCTGTTTATTGTTTTTAATAGTTTTTAGGTGGTTTTTATGTTTTTAAGAAGGAGGATTCTTCTTGTGCCATAGCGATTTAGTCCTCCGTACGCAATTCCTTTACTTCAATTTGATGTCAGGATAAAAAAAGAATAATTTCTTTTGATGAAGGCAGCTCTGCTTGTTCATTCCTGGTGGCCGCAGTTTTCCTGGGATCCCCCTCAGTCCCGTGCTCTGCATGGCTGCACCTTGTTGATGAAAAACCCCGTGGCTGGGAGGAGAAATCAACTTTGCTGGTGCTGGAAGAGGCTCTTGCGGGGGTGTTAAGTACTCCACCACGCTCCGACGCCGCGGGGCTCCAAGTATTGCATCAGAGGCGCCCGGTCGTGCGAGAGCCCCTGGAGGAGGCTCAGATCTGGGTTTCTTGTACTCTCCTTCTTATTTAGATGAAAAAAAAGTACAGAAGCAAGGGGGGGAAAAAAAAAAAAAGGTTAAAGCACATATTTTACTAGTCCTGTGATGGAAAGAATCTTCCACCCCACCCGAAAGGAGACGTTTTGCAAGTATTTTGAGTTCCCAACTTCTTCCGGCTCCGGCGGCAGGTCCAACAGAGGCGGTCGCAGCATCCAAATGGCGAGTGCTTGGCAGTCAGCGCCACCGGCGTGCGGGGCTCCGCTGCTCCTCTGGCTCCGGAGGATCTCCGCGCCATGTGGAATCACTTACTCTTCTGTATTTAATATGCAAGTCAGATGTGCTATCGTATACACAGCGCCGGGGTACGGGGTTACGCTCCAAGGCAATAAACAGATATGACTGATGGTCGGAGCAGGCTCTGCTTTGCGTCTCTCGGCTTGTCTGCGTCTTTTCTTGGAGCGGCAAATCCAAAGGGTGAGCCTCCAACAGGAGCTGCCCCACATGGGCTAACCGGTGCTCTGGAAATCTGCCGCTCTCCCGCACACAGATGGGCGACGGAGTTTTTCTAGAAGATCAGCATTTCCTGTTCCTGCCCTCAGAAATGCAAGCAAACGGATAAAAACGGTATCGACTGATGCCGATAGCAAGAATTGCAGTGTTTCGAGCTGGTAGAGAGACTTATTCTACTTGCAGGCCCTTAAAATGCCTTTCTTTACGTGTTGGGTTTCCCGTTAAACACGGCCTCACGTGCGGTGCAAAGAATACGTCACTTCTTCAGCGTCTTTACCTGCATTCAAACCATCCCGTTGTTCTCTCTGCCCTCTCCCCAGCCCGAGCGCTGCGTTATTTCCTCCTCCGTATGTGTTTGAAATCCTTTCTCAAGGTCCGTCTGCTCACGGAGTCCTAACAGGATTTAGGATGCTTTCTGTAAATGAGAGCAAACTCATGTCTCCCGCCTCGCTCCCCCACGTCGTTATTTTATGAGTTAATGGGAGGAGGAGGGGTGAACGAGCAAGGCTGAACCATCATCGATCTGGAGTGAATTCAGACTTAAGGTTTCCCTTTGGATTCAGCGCGCTGCAGCGCTCAGCCAGCGTTTGGCTGCTCAACACGGCACGCGCAGGGCTGGGAAGGAGAGGGCAGATGGGCAGGTCTCTGCTCGTAGTGATGCCGTTTGCTATCCAGCCCTATAAAAGCATATTGTTCTGAAGCATTCGTAGAGTTTCTGTGCGTATTTTACTCTTTCGCCTCCTAAAGCCGGCAGCTGGAAGCGTTGAATCCAGTCTGGGAAGAAAAACCTCTTTTGGATGCTTCTCGGCTGTCTGACCTATTGCTCCAGTTGCTAACGAAGCGCCCAGCCGGTGTCTGGCACAGAGGAACCCCTTTCTTTGGCGGCTTTCTCTGCAGTTTCTTGTGTGGTCGGTGCTACGAAGTCTCAGTTGCCCCGTGCCAAACAGTCCCCAAAGCCGTTACTGAATCGGGCATTGTCTCCCCAAATCCATCAGGGATTATGTGTGTGATTTATGCTGTCCCTGGGCAGGGAATCTGCCTGGATGGATGGGAATTCTGTCTGGGTATTGGTTCGCTGGAGAACTGGCAGGGAACTGCATATTGTTTGTAGGGCTTTTTGTTAGTCTTCAGTGGAAAATTGCCCCTGTCTTGCATGTTTCATCAAGGGAAAAAAAAAAACAAAACCAACAAACCCAAATTAAACTTTGAAAATAATCCAAAAACGAAAGCTTTGTGAACAAATGCCCTGAAAAGCCTGTGGTTGGAAGAGGAGGGAAATGCTTAGCGAGGAACTACTGTGCTAGCGACTCCTCTCCTGGCTTCGTCTTACAGAAAGCAATAAAACAAAGCCAAAGGCTGAAGCTCGCTCTCCCTGAAAGCCGCCTGGCTGAGGACCTAAAGAGTTACGGCACCGTGTGGGCAACCGAAAAGTGAAGCCAGGGTGGCCTGCGATGGGCTCGGCGTCTCACGCTGGCGCGGGGCCTTGCGTTCACCTCCCTTTTGTGTCTTACCCCGGGAGATTTTTGGGAACAGCGGCCTCGTCTTGCTCGGTGCTCTGCCTCGGTGCTTACCGCATGGTACGCAGCCTCTCGCAGGAGAGCCCGCCTGGGGATTTGGGGGTATTTTTCTCATTTTGCTTAAAAATGAGAGCTCTGGGGTGGAGTCCTTTTAACAGCTATTGCATTAGCGAGGAGTTGCCGTAATCTGTTTTGCAGATTGCCTCGCTTCAAAGTGATTGCTGAGATTAAAAAGGCTCAGAGAAGGAGTGCTGAGCAAGAGCTGAGAGCAGGCTTTTCCTACCGCTACCTGTCAAACTCTTCAGCACAGAAAGAAGCTTAGAGCAAATTTGACGGGGCTTAGAGCGTTAGACGCCTGCGAGGGTCGTTTTTCATGCCCAAACCTTGATGAAATAAAGGGTGGGTAACCAAAGGACGTCCTCGCGGCACTGGGGATTCGAAAGTGAGGAGAGTGACAGGACGGCTGGCTTGTTGTCACAGCGAAGGCCTCTTGTTCCTGCATGCATATTG